AGAAACGGCGTGTTCTCTAGACTGACGGGATGAGTCTTGTCTCTGCTTGCTCGTACAGAAAGGCAAACTATAGCCTTGAGCTGTAGTCCAAGGTTGGTTAAGGAAACTGCAGAAACCGTATTTTGACTTAATACTTTCCACTCATCAGAGAAGCCACAGAAGGGTGGTAAGGGTGAAGGCAGAGAGATGAGAGAACATGTTTATGTATTTCTGTAACTCTTAATTGTGTGCCTAGAACTGAAAAATCTGGCTCAGTGGAAACTGTTCGGGCTTGCTTTGCCCTTCTGCCGTATCACTCCAAGAAGAAACACGAATTACTACATGATTTCAGGTTGTGCTGAGGGCTGGGGCTTGTCTGACGTCTCCAGTTCTCTCTCTTCTTTTTCCCCCCCTCCCAAGTGCCTTTCAAAATGCTTTCACTGCTCTTTCCAGGAAGGAGCAGTGAGGTGCTGCATAATTCTAGGGATTAGTAATTTTGAGATACACTTCAGAAGTGGAGATCTTAGTCTGATAGAAGGAAACCCGATAACCAACGAAACCAACGACAAGTGAAGTGTCCAGTAATTTCCAGGAATTTATTGCTTAACTGCTTGCAAGGGTTAAAGTCAGTAGTATGTGATGTGTCCAGAGGCCTCAAAAATATATATATATATATATATCAGTGCTTGCTTGATTTTTGTATTTAAATTGCATTAAACTATCTTTTGATGCACTAAAAGGAGTATCAGAATTTTCATTTGAACTTAGAAAGTCCTACTTCTATAAAAGGAAGCATAAAAATGTACCGTACACAACCATCGTTCCACGTTCTCCTTATAAGTATAATGTCTGGAGCATTTAAGAAGTAGATAACAATAGAATTCAGCAGTTCTGTAGGGTCACCCAGGAATATTTGGTGCTGGAAGCTCAGTTTGGCTCAAATCAGTACATCAATGCAAGTATAAATGTACTTTAACGGATGGAAAGAAGCACAAATTTGGGGCAATATCTAAGACATATTGAAACTAGCTATTTGACATCGCAGATGCAGTAGTCTTGGAGGTCTCCAAACAGCTCGGTGGTTCCTGACTTTGGACTAGTGCCAGCCCTCGGTTTCTCGCGGACTGTGTGTCCAAATCGGGCTTTCAATTAAAGCACTTAAAGCACAGTTAAGTTCATGAGCTGTGATGCAGGAACCACATCTGTCCCTTCCTTTTGGGTAGAACAGGGTGAGTGTGGGGCTTTGCAGCCAACATCAAATCTTGTTCCTCTCTGTTTTTGAGGAACATATCAAGTTACTTTATTTATTTTTATGAAGCGGCAAAGACAACGGAAGCCTTACAATGTAGATCTTGGCATGCATATTTATCTGCAGGGCAGGAGAAAGGGTTTTTAAGACCCAGGGTATATTTTCTGCCTCATCCTTCCAGCTGTCAAACTGAGTTTTACTGGATGTGTGGAGCATCCCGCGCTGGCCCCCGAGCATCCCGAGGTTGGTGTTTGGGATGGGGAAGGAGGAGCGGAGGACGCGGCTCCTCGCCGGGGCTGCTTGGCCGGGAGCCTCTTGCTGCTGCAGTATTGGCTTTATTTTCCGTAGCTCCCGGTAAACGGGAAGCTCTGCAGCTCTTGTCGGAGCGCCCCGGCAATGCCCGAGCAAGCGCCGCTGCAGCTCCCTCGCGCTGGGCACGTGTGCCCGTGGGGACGGCTGCGTGAGCCGCCCGGCTGACGCAAGTTCCCTTACGTGCACGTTATTTAACCTCTGCGTTTGGCTTAAAATCTCCTTCCTAGGCCCTGCCTGGGACTGCAGGGCGCAGCCTCCTCTCCTCGTTCAGCGAAACCCCCGAACGGCTCTGGGTGCCCAAAACCCACGCACGTAACTGCGTGAAACTAAAGCTTCGGCGTGTGGGCCCTTCCCTGCGCCCTGCAGAACGAAGGCTGTGAGGAGAACCTTCCCTTGCCTTCAGGTGAACTGAGGAACGTCTAGAATTCGGAAACCGTTGGATGTTCAGCGCATTTTCCACAGAAACCCCCGGACGTGGCTCTGTCTCCTGCACGGAGCTGATCCCATTTTCTCTTTCTTGCTGACACGGGTCTAGCAGGGCACCTTCTGCCGCGCTCCTGGGAGGAACTCGCGTTCCGCATCACCACAACACAACCGCTCCGATGCGGGCAGCCTGTGTTTAATACAGCCGCGTGTTCTGGTTTTGTCTTGTGGCGGTGAGGTGCTTTCTGTCTTCAGATGCTAACTTGCTCTCTGCAAGGATGCCTTTTTAAAAGGAACGTTGGTTGTTTAATTCCTGATCTCTTCGGTGTGCGCTAGCAGACGTTGCAGAGCGTGTTTCAAAGCCGGGCAGTGTAGCAATCGGCCCGGGAGCGCGGCGGGAGGATCGATAACCCATCGGTGGGGACGCAGCAGCCGCCTTGGGAGGCCGCGGGTTGGTGGGGGGACCTCGAGGGTTGAAGCAGGCGGCGTCTCTAGTGGAAGGGTGTCTGCTTAGGCTTCCACATTACTTCACGCTAACACAAAATAAAGCACCACGAGTTCTGGAAGACTCCAAGGCTGTTTCAAAGACGAGTCCGGGCTCCCGAGCGCCTCGTTAACCGGCCTTTCTACCTCCATTTTGTGGCGCGGGGAGGCTCCTGGCTGCCATTTTGCATTGCAAAATGGCGTCCGCGGGCGCCGCTCGGGATGCGCCTGAGCGCGGAGCGGCGCCGGCGCTGGAGCCATCCCCTTCCATCGGGCTAAAGCTGAGAGAATGGCATGGGCAAACACTTGTAGCACATTATTAATCGTAATTTAGGCTTTCCAAAGTAGAGGTTTTACATTGAGATATTGGGTTCTGCGCACCTGGAACGTTACACGAGCGATGCAAATACGCAAAACCAGGCAGGTTTGCCCATGATCTGCGCGCTGGGCGTCCGGCGCTGGAGTCTGTGCCGTGCTTCATGATGTTTAGTGATTTGATACGCTTTGAACAATTTCATTAAGAATTTTACATTTAATTGCAAAAGTTACTTGACTCACATGCAGCAACTACCTCAGTGTTATCAGTGCTTTATATATATTTTTGCCTGTGAGTTAAGTAATAAATAAAACATACCTGTATATGTAATCTGCAAAGCAGATGTAAGTAGATGTGGAAAATTGTGCGTCGGTGTGCCATGGGACAGGAGTCCCCGACGCTGCCACAAAGGTTTGGTTTACAAATAACGCGGGTCGTCACTGATAGTAAATAGCACTGCTGATTTTGCAGATGTGGCAGTTGGAATTCAGCTTCAACCAGGAGGAAGAAAACTTGTGGATCCGTTTGCTTGAGTGGATAACTCTGAACTTGCAGCTTTTGTCCGGAGGAGAAGGGAAGCGGGCAGGGGAGCCGTGCTGGAAGAGGCGCTGTGGGTCAGGTACCCCTTGGGGCCCCTTCCAAGCCTCAGGGGTCATAAAAAGTTTAAAAAAAAAAGGAAAAAAAATGCAGTAGCTGTATGACTACCTCCGCTCTTTTTGATGAGAAACGACAGAAATGGCTCAGTAGTTTCCCTTGTGCTTGTCTGAAAGCGCTCGCCTGCTGCAGGGTTTCCTCTCCTCGCGCTCCTCCTGGGCTCCTTCCCGCAGCGGCTCCCAGCGCTTCCCTGCGCCCCGGCAGGGACCTTCCATTCCTCGTCCGAGAGAGCGGGAGCCCTTGGAGCAGCCGGAGCTCCGGGGCTGTCGCTGGGCTCTCCTGGTCCCTTTGGCTTCGCTCGGTGCCGCCGCCACCTCCCGCTGCGGTGCTGCTGGGTCAGGGCTCTTGGGATGATCCCGCTGGCACCAGATGTCCAGATTTAGCTGCTCACGGGAGGAGCGTCCCTAGGACAGCAGTGAGGGGACGCGGGACAGCGCGGGGCCTGCTGGCCGCTCCGGGCGGAAGAGGCAGCGCCGGGAGCCGTGTTCCGGAGCGACCATCCCGCCGGGCACGGGCGCGCGGACCCG